ATTGTTACAAAAATGATAAGAATAGGAAAATATATTTTTCTATTTTTTAATCTAATTCAGAGCAAAAGCAAATCTATAGTGCTGAGATGTGATAGATGTGACTCTGCATTCTTAACTGTGATGTGGGCTGCAATCAGGAAACAGAGATTTTTTTTCCATTTCAGTTTTACATGAAGTCTTTTAACCTGGATATTTGCTTACGCTGAAAGATTCTATGATTGCATTGCATATATTTATACAGGAGCAAAAAAGTAATGATTAGGCTGATAACAAATGCTGAACTTAGAAACTGTATTTCAATTTCTCCAAGTAGCTTTGCTCAATCCTAGTAAATACATACCAATTTTCATATGAGCATTTTTGGTTTAAAGTAAGTTTATGCATTGCTTAAAACCTTCCCTACTGCCCTATTTAATCTGAATTCCAAAAGCACTGATTTTACAGACACGAAACTGCTTTTAAAGCTGAAAAAAAAAATATTCAGCAACCTTTAATGTCTTAATGAGATGGAGTTTGTGATGCAGAACTATTGAGTAGAGTGAGAGGAAGAGATAGCATACAGTGGGAGGAAGAGATGCCACAGTATTAACTTGGTATGATGCACAGCAGAAAAATAAATTCCAATAGAAGAGAATATGTGCAGCTCAGAGTTGAACTGTCCTTGGTGCTCTTTGAGCTTAGTTGTCTGCTTGCAGATGTTTCATTAGGCAGATGTTTCATTAGGTAACACCATCAGTGCTAGTTAACCAATGCTCAATCCAAAATACCAGAGAATTCCTGGGAGCTTGGCATTCAAACAAATCAGCAATCAATAAACACATAAAGATAAACCACATTTACACACTATTCAAGAAGCATTAAAAAAAGCTAAGAAGGAAACAAAGAAGATCATAACATATTCTTTTTAGCAATCAACACCCAAATAAGCAGGAATTAACATCAGATAAAGAATCAGAAAACACTAATCAAGGAACTGCCAAGGAGAAAACCATACCTGTCAACCACCTTGAGATCTGTAGTTATACATTACAGATAGTCCTTGACTTACAATTCATTTTGTGATCATTTGAAGTTACAACAGCACTGAAAAAAACTAACTTATGACCATTTATCACACTTACAACCATTGCAGGATTCCCAAGTGATCAAAATTTGGATGCTTGGCAACTGACTCGTATTTATGACGTTTGCAGTGTCACGGGGTCATGTGATCACCTTTTGTGACCTTCTGACAAGCGAAGTCAGTGGGGAAGCCAGATTCCCTTAACAACCAGGTTACTAATTTAACAACTACAGTAATTTACTTAACAACTATGATAGGAAAGGTCATAAAATGGGGCAAAACTAACTTAACAAATGTGTCGCTCAGCAACAGAAATTTTGGCCTCGATTGTGGTCATGTATCAAAGACTACCTGTATAAATTGGACAAAAAAAAATAATTAGTAAAATAAACAGTAGCAGAATAAGCTATTGTATATAAACAGGAAACAAGCTCCACACTCGCTAACACTGATGCTGCTGCTTAGTTGCGAGCAAATCTGCGAGAAGAGCCTGTAGTACAGTGGACTAAAGCACTGTTATTAACATCTGCTGCTTGCAATTATTGCAAGTTCAAATCTCACCAGGCTCAAGGTTGACTCAGCTTTCCATCTTTTCAAAGGTAGGTGAAATGAGGAACCAGATTGTGGGGGCAATAAGCTGACTTTGTATAAATATACAAAAGTATGAAGGCTATTGCTTAACGCATTGTAAGCCGCTCTGAGTCTCCGGAGAAGGGCGGCATATAAATTAAAGCAAAAAACAAAACAAAACAACCAAGGTCACTGAGCACCCAGGACTCCACAGAACCTCTAGGAATTGATCCTTTTCTTTTAAGTAAAGTTTACTTCAACTGAGGATCATATAAGAGTCTTCTTTTTGTTGCAAACAGGCAATCATAGAAACATTTCTGATAAAGTTGAGCTCTAGTTCATTATGATGTTTGGTATTCACAATGCACTTCATATACAGAATGCAAATGAAAAGTGAATAGACATTCTATGCAAGTTGAAGCATAGGCCTTGCTTTACATAAATTAGCTAATCGCAGCTACTCAGATATTTAACTTTTGAGCTGTAATCTTCAGATTATTTTTACCGTTGTTGAATGTATGTACCGTATTTTTCAGAGTATAAGACGCACCTTAATTTTGGGGGAGGAAAACAAAAAAAGAATTCTACTTCTGCCTACCAGCATTTAAGGTGGCGCTGCTTTACGCCACCCTCCTCCTCCTCCTGCAAGCGAGAGGTGCGTCAGAGACTCGGCTGGGAAAGAGGGCGTCAATAACTGAGAAGTTCTTTTCCAGAAAACTTATTGGGGTGCTCCTGCGATCCGCAGGGACATCTCGCTTTCCCCCGAAGAGATCCCTCGCATGCTCTGTGGGGAGGGTCAGAGCACAGCCTGAGGAACAAACCTCTTCGGGACGGTCTGGGGAGGAATCTGCTTGGTGATTTTGGTGAACAAGGCGGGCCCTATGATTTGCAGCTGGTCACCCCTCTGGCCGCCCAGCGGGCAACTCAGGGCAGACAATGGTCACGATGACTTCACTCCCCAGGAATGTGAGGAGCCACCACCTCCGCCGCCGAAGCCCTCTTTGTGCCCAGGAGCCAAGCCGAGCCGAACGGGAGCCCCTAAAGTGAAACGTCCCTCCTTTCCAGCCGCTGCCCATTGGCCGGATTCCCCAATGCAATTCTCAGAGCCGAATTTCAGGTGGCGGCCAGTTCCCCTGCAATGTGCAGCAGAGAACCGGGAACCATCTCAAATTCAGGGAGGGGATGGCAGCGCTGCCTGAAAATGCTTTTCTTCTCATTGCACACTGCAGAGCCGCGCGCCCTCGTCCTTCTCAACAGACTCACCTTCTCTTTCCTCCTGGCAAATCCGCCACCTGAAACACGATGCACTTTTTTTGCCTCTGCACACCCCATGTTTGGAATTGGGAAGGGGATCGCGGGTCTGCTGCTCCTAGGCGCGGAGAGGACTTAGGTGGTGGCGGCTCCTCACATTGCTGGGGAGTGAAGTCATCATGACCAGTGTCTGCCCTGAGCTGCCAGCTGGGCAGCCAGAGGGGTGACCAGCCACAAACCATGGGGCTCGCCTTGTTCCCCGAAGCTGCTGGGTAGATTCCCCCCACAAACCGTCCCGAAGAGCTTTGTTCCTCAGGCTGTGCCCCAACCCAGATTCCCGCCGCCTGGAACTGCCTGAAAATGTCCGAAGGGTGGGAGCTGGCGAGTGGGCGGGGCTACAATCGGACTATAAGACGCACCCAGATTTTCACCCTCTTTTTGGGGATAAAAAGATGCATCTTATACTCCAAAAAATACGGTATTTTTATTTATTTATAGCACAGATATTATGGACATAATAACCAATGCCCTACTCAGCAATGGTGGGTTTCAACTGGTGTTACCACCAGTTCGCTTCGTGCAAGCGCATTGAATTTCAGAAGAGGTGAGGAATGGCAATCTGCTCTGCCGCGCCTATCAGCTGGACTAAAAACGAACTAATATAGGTAGGTATAGCGCAGGGGCAGGCAGGAGGGCCCAACTGATGGTCAGAGCAAACCGGTTCTCTCTCACCTCACCATCTCTGCTACCAGCTCGCCTGAACCAGGGAGAGCCAGTAGCAACCCACCACTGCTACTCAGGCATAATGGATTGAATCAAGCTTTGTACGCTGTAGAATTTCACTTGTGATAGGGAGTGGTGGATGATTTCAATTGATGAAAATTTCAAGAGGGTAGACAGCACTCTGCAAAAATAGTTCACCACTTTCTTCCCTCACAAAACTTGGAACATAAAAGTAGCCCAACTAGATTAAGCAAAGGGCTATTTAAATCCTGCTTATTTTTGCAGTGGCTAATCGGAGGCCATTGGGGTAGTCAGGAACAAGAAATGATATATCCCTCTCCCGTGGTTGTTACTCTTGAGCCTAGAATTTGGAAATATATTGACCAGAACCCAGAGGTAATAGTCAAGATTAGTAGACTTTCATATATACACTTGTCCTTCATAAATTTATTCAGTCCCCCTTTAGTTACTCAACCTTATAATCCATCCGTTTTTTGTGAGAATGAATTCTGCAGATAAATTTTGCAACATATGAAAAATACTTTTATTTGAATTCTTCTTCAAATTAGGTTCATTGGATGTCCTAGGCTTTTGAGAAAGAAAAATTCTCCGTGTGCACTTTTGCCATATCATGCTTGATTTTAAACACTTCTATCACATACCTATTGACAAATCATTTCAAGAGTTTGAAATGTTTCATCCATTTAGTCTTGAATTCTGTGTATTTTGCTTGCAGAACAAATCCGGAGTGCAACCATTGCTACTACAGTTGTGTCGGGCGCATCAATGTGCTTCTGGGTTGGAAGGATTGAAAGGTGACATCACTGTTGCTCGGGGGATGCCCAGTTGGAGGCTCTTTTCATGTCCCCGTTAAGTTGCCCACTGAAGTGGTATCCATTTATCTACACACGGTCACCTGCTTTTGATTTGCTGAGTCATCAGAAGCTGGAGGGTGTGACGGAAGCTCCCCTCGTCCTTAGCAGCAACCAGATCTTGAACGTGAGCCTGCCACTCTTCAGCTCAACATTCTAATCTCGTGAGCCACCATGCTCCTTAGTGCAACCATTGTACTCTGGCCTTCCTATCCATTCCTATTTTAGTTACTCAAGATGTCGCAGTAAAGAAATTAAACAGAAAAAGACATCTTGGCTCTACCCACCAGTTAAAGAAGCAATAATTGCATAGGAATAGATTTTTCCTCTCTTGTACCAGTTGCAGTATTCATTGGAATATTATAGGCTATCTCTCAACCAGACTAAAGACTATAAATATGCCTATGTGCAAAATAGGTTTTTTTCTCATTACTATTAAGGAAATAAAATTGTATTTCTTCAATTTCCTTAATAGATGCTGCAATCCAGCATTTTTATATACTACCATGCCAATCTACTTTATTGTTTGAATGGATTGGCATGGTGGTCCTTCTCTATCCTTGAACACTGAAAGGAAATGTGCGCAGACCAGAATACTCTCGAAACACAACTGAGCCACATATCTAACCTCAAATTCAGAGGAATGCAATGACGTGAAAGCAGATGGAAGCTTATGCCAGAATAGTTTAATGAGAATTAGATTTTGTGATAATGAAGTGGTAATGATATGCAGCAATGCTATGTATCAGAGGAAACAGAACATCCCAATATAATTGGCTTTTGCCTGTTGTTGGAGATACTTCTAAATTAAAAACCAATATAAAAATCCAATCCAATCAATTAAAAATGTCAAGTAAAGTTGCAAGACCATTTTGCTTAGTTAAAGTGTTATATCCTCCAAGGTTTCAACATACTGAATTAAATACAGATGGTCTGTGATACAGACTCTACTCACGGAACATGGTTTCTGAAGGACTGATTGATTCCCCCCCTGACCCCTGCAAATCTATCCTGAAAATTTGGAAGATCCTCTGGAATGTGAGAGGTAAGTGTATTTATTATTTAGTGTATGGCATTTGTACATTGAGAATTGGCGAGTCTACAATGTCATTACAGAGTAGTTTGGCTGCCTAAGATGCTAGTTCGTTTAGTTCATGCTCATGCACTACCCAGGGTGCAATGCAGGGGGGTGAACTAGCTGCACACAGAGGCAACAGTGAGGGGGCAGAGAGAACCAGCCGGGTATCATTAACAATAACACTGTTCTCTACAAGCAGCAATATCTGCTGACCTTACATCTTCTGTATTAATGGATAACCAATTCTGAATCCCATTCACAATACTTTACATTCTGTCATGCTAAATGTAATAAAAAACCCTCTTATCACTTATAGTAACAATATCACTCCAAAAGCAGAATTTTTCATTCTAGCGTGCTTCTTTTGTATATAATAAAATGTTTTGATATACTTCCTTTGCTTACTAGTTTTGAAACAGTGGTTGGAACTGTATTGCATAGTGAGAAAGCACCTGCTTCTAAGCAGTCAGTATGGGGAGAACAAGAACTTCAACTGCAGTGATTTATTAAATACAAGTTTTTTTCCCTAATGAACTGTTTTAAGTGTTAATACAGCAACCAGTGAGAACCCAGGCTTAGTTCATAGCACTAAATTCCAGAGAGACTGTTCGTTTGTATTTTTATTTTGCATGAAATGTTATGATGTGGCAACCCAAAGCCGGATTTGCATATTGTGCTCAATAGTAAATATGTAGTTTTTTAAATTTTTTGCTTATCTCAATGCATACACCTTTGATTCTGTTTAGGCAATGTCTAAAGGGCAGGGTTGGAACCTATCCACTGAAAAGAACAAAACCAAAATATTCTGGATTTTCTTCATATTTTAAGATTGAAATTCTTTCCTCTTCCATTCTTGCCTCTAAAACCACCTTTATTCCCTGAACTGTTTTGGGGAAATGTAATCTACAGCAGCAGATCTGGACTGCAAACCTTCAGTTAGCTACTACATGGCAGCAAAGAATTAAAATGTTCTACATCTTTTAAAATCTTTTGTCATTTTAATCTGTTTTTATTGTTTTTCTATCTGTTTTTTACACTATAAGCCGCTCAGTCACCATGAAACACGAAACGAACAGCATATAAATTTAATAAACAATAATAATCTGGTAGTCCTAGTGCAAAGTGAAACAGAAGCATTACAATTCCCATAAATATGCTATTTCCATCTTTAAATCCTACCAAACTGCCAAGCTTATGTACAATCAACTCCAAAAATATGAATTCTTGATTGGTTTAAAGGAGCGGCAACAGCAGAAATGGAATCCAAAAGCTTCATCCATTTTAATCCTAATTATTAAAAATGAGGGGGGGGGGGGAATCCCAAAGACCAAATGTGACAATTTTATTACCAAAATTTAGCAGTGCAGAATGCTGAGCAGTGACAGACTGCCCATTTCTGGTTTATACTTTAATATGTTGTGAAAAGCTATTCAACAAATTATAGTTACATCCAACCTGGCTTAATGTGTGAACTCAGAATCTCAATATGAACTGGAAAATATATTAAAAGGTGTTTTTGTTTTAATACCCAGCTTATAAAATCACCACTCAATATGTTTAACTAAAGAGCATTTATTTCATTTTTCACTATGATTTTTCACTGCCTCCAAGTAGTACTACTGATCTCCCCTTCTGAGGAGTACATATAGCAATGGTGGCAAAGGAGATGTGAATAATCTTGAGGACCTTGAACAAAATAAACTAAGAAAAGTGAAAAATTAAAAATTAAACTTCTGTAAAAGACATTTTCTTCTGGAATTGAACAAGTCTCTTACAGTTCTAACTGACTCAGTCCTAGTCATAGGTTTATAAGAATGAACAGTGAACTACAATACAAGACTTTCACTACAGAATGCTGTACACACCTGATGTCCACACCCTCCCCTCAGTGCCCCATTATTTGCTTGCTTGCTGAGCTTGTCTGCGGAGAAGAACATAGATCTTCTCCTTTATCCAATCTTTATTGTACGGCTGGTATGTCTGAGTATCAGCACGATAGCTGGTAGAAAAAAATAGATCAGTTAATATTTTTAATATTGCTTTTCATCATACATTTCTACATATTTTCTTAAAACCAGAATTCTCGACATTTTGGAATCCCTTATTTCCAAAAACAATGATTCTGTCTTTCTGAAGTAACAATTATTTCCTTGAATGTAATTCTATAACAACGTTGAGGCAGAAATTAAGCACACACTATATTCATTCTATTCAATATGTAATAAAATATGTAGTAAAACAAACTTTTACTCCTTTTTAAAAAAGCTTAAGATCTTTGAATTTTATTGTAGACGTATACCATCAATATATCGTCTATAGTATGTCATAAAAGGTGCAGTATTAGATGTATCATTTAGACTGTTATGGCTACAGAGGAATATATATTTCTTTACTTAAAAATCTTATACAAGTCTGTATATATTTATGTATTTACTTGCCCAATCTGTAAAATATAATTCTGGGCAGTTGGCAATGACATGCATGCCCTCTGGTGGCTTTCTAAAATCTAAACACTCTATGACAAAAAAGATTAAAAAAAAGAAAAATCGGAATAATATTAGTTATCTTTTCAAGGAACTTAAAGTGCCATTTAAAGTTGTTCTATCTTTACAAAGGAATACATTTTGAAAGGTCCACTATCACAATACTGGAGTTAGCAATTAATGTACTCCACTATTCCATGGTTTCCATAATCTTTTAATTAAATGGGTAATGTTGCTTAGAAGTTCATAATAAAGTTATCACCAATATGTCAATGACACCCATTTATTTCTTCTTCACAAGAGAGTTCAGTAAGACAATAGAAGTGTTGAAACAATAATAATGGAGAGGTCTAGGACTAGAAATCCAATTTCATTACAGGTAAAATGGAAGTACTGATGTTAGATGCTCAACAAAGGAAGTAAAGCTTTATTCTTTATTAATCTTACTCAGGGAATGCTTGGATGCTCAAATTTACAGTGTTAAGTTGTTGCTCCTCCAAAAGAGAGATAACCTCACTGTGATTATGCATGCTATTGTAATGTGCACATAAATAATATTATTCTAACATTACAAATCTTGAACGTGGTTTGGAAACCTCCACTGGTTTAGAGCATGACTGCCAAAATATAAACTATATACTATTCTGAATATATACACTTTGTCTATGCACTGACTTTCAGCGAGCAACTGGGCTCAAATTAATGGGCTAGTTCTACTTTAAGGAACTAAAGAGTAGGACTGTGCAGCAATCTGGAACTGAGAGAGCAAAGGAGATTTGCACATTGCAGGGACACTTATGGCATTGCTTTTACCTGTGAGAAAGTCCTTAAATGACCTAGGCTTATTTTAAGGAGATTTCAAAAGATGTGACACATGCCCTCCAAATTACCATTTTTTCCTGTGAATCGAGATTGCTGCACAGCCCTACTAAAAAGATAAATGCAAAGAAATGTCTCCTCCAATATGAAACTGGCTAAAATCTAAGTATTTCAGAATACCTAGTCCAAATATCCACACTAGAAGACTTCAATATAATGATCAGGTAAAAGTTTCAATTATGATATATCTCCTCCAGGGGATTTTTTTGTTCAGCTGATAAAACTGCCCAATTTTCATCATTCTGGGAAATCTTTTTCTTTTCAGCCTTTATAATATTTTGTACTGTTAGCCATTTTTAAAGTACTACATAAAATCAACTCCCTCATAAAAGTATACCAATGAATTAGTACAATATAAAATATGGATGGGTGTATTCCTAAATAATTCCACCGTTCAAATACTTGTTGCAATTTCTCTTTATACGGAGATTATTCAATAAAGAACTGTTGACATTCCATTAGGATTAGATTGTATTTATAAAACATACACAAGTAGTTTTTATCTCACAGCAGAAATCCTAGATATACTTATGTTTGGTTCACATAAGTTTTTGTTAACTTTTTATTAACTACTTCCCTCATATCCTATTTATTCCATGAACTTTTGTTGCATCTTGGAATCAAGGTTATTAATTAAGGAATTTATCAAGTCAATAAATTGGAAATGTCCCCCATGTAAACATTCTTTGGAGACCCAGTTTGGTGTTATACTTAAGGCATCAGGCTAGAAACTGAGACTGAATTCTAAACCTTGTTATAGGCACAAAGTCAGCTGAGTGACCTTGGGCCAATCACTCTTTCTCAGTCCTGGGAATAAAGCAATGACATCATCAACATCACCGTAAAAAAAAAAAAAAACTGATCAAGAAAACAGCAGGGATTAGTCCAGGCAGTCACCAGGAATCAAAAGTGCAGAAAAATAAATAAAAATTGTCCATTAAACATCAGTAGCAAACACTGTGGAATTCTGGTATTTTGATAATAGTCTCAACCAGTTAATACTGAATGCAATCCAAATCAGGATTTTATACTTCATTGTCAGCTAATTTTAGACTTATAGTAAATTATAGGCTACCTAAACATTGGTTCTACAATGGTGAATGAAAATTAAGAGGGGATTTTGTGAGATGGGTGGCGATATTAATTTGATAAATACCTTCTAGATAACCAAAGCAAAATAAGATAAATTATATTTGTTTCAAAAACATATTTACATTCAAAGTAATATTCATTAAATATCTCTCACATTCAAGAGGCAGAAGCACAGACCAGTAACATTAAAAGTCTAATTACATATGTGTAAACCAGCATATATATAACTGTAGAAGTAAAATTGTAGATGTTAAATTATATGATACATACACAAGGCAGCTAAGGTCAGCCAAATCATCGATGAAATCAAATAACTGGCTAATATCATATGTAATGGAAGGGCTGTTAGGATTCATTCTCTTCAGGTGTTCTTCATACATTTTACAGACTCCTAAAAAAGAAAAGAATAATGGTTAGCAGTTACATTACACATTTGTGCCACCTAGTTGTCAGAGTACTTGAATGTTAAGAAATACAAACAAGCGATCAGAAGAGAAATATGCTAAAGCTAGGAATAAATGTTAATTTATCTATTCGTGAGTAGATATAAATACCTTTACAATTTTGTATAAGAATTGCAAGAAAAGTTATAGATTCATCATTTTCAACCTTCTACATTAAATATCATGTAATCTTACTAAATATCATGTAATCTAGATATTGCCTCATTATTCTGCATGACTAACTATAGTGCCCAAAGCTGAAGGGTACTGTGGTTCGTAAGATATCCTTGTATCAAACTGCTAGAGCAGGGATCACCAATGACATTTACTTCATTAATCTAATAAAAAGTACAAACTTTACAATTATGCACTACTTTCAATTTGATTCCAAACAGTGTTTCTAAGCACATAGAAGCAGCTCTTTGAAATTAACTACAGGTAGTCCTTGACTTATGACAATTGAGCCCAAAATCTGTTGTTAAGTGAGATATTTTTAAAGTGAATTTTGCCCCATTTACCTTTCTTGCCTGTTATGATGGAATCACTGCAGATGATAAGTTAGTAACCCAGTTGTTAACTGAATGTGGCTTCCCCATTGACTTTGCTTGTCAAAAGATCACATGATCTTGGGACACAGTAACAATCATAAATACAAACCAGTTGCCAAGCATCTGAAGTTTAATCACATGTTCACGGGGATGCTGGAAAGGTCATAACTGTGAAAAATGCTCATCAGTAACTTTTTTCAGTGCTATTGGAACTTTGAATGGTCACTAAATGAATTGAGGACTACCTGTATTATTTTAATTGGCACATGGTACAAGAGTAGAAGATTTATTCCCTATTTTCCTGCAAATGCCTCAGCTCATTCTAAGAATGAACTGCCCTTTAAAACTCATTTAAAGTTTAAAAAAATTACCTTCCATACATTCATTTACAGATTCATAATCTGCGTAAGTCCTGCCTTCAGGCCGTTTGGTAGGCTGAACAAGCAGAATTGTATGAGACTGAAAAGGAAAGGCAACAATCTTAAAAGGGCATCAACAAATATCACACAAGTGTTAAAAAGTTAGATCTGTCAAATGCAAAGATTTTTTGTTCCTGCGCGCACACACACACACACACACACACACAATTTTTACACACAGAAACCAATGTAGTTTTATTCTGATGCATACACACTACAGGAAGATTCATCCTTCCATTTCAGTGAATGTTCCCCCCCCCAATGGCTCTCGACTTATTTTTTTTCCAGAAAAATTCGAATTAAAAAAAAAAACCAAACACTGTAAAGCTCTACCGGTTATAACTCAACGGTTCCTCCTCCTATTCTTTTTATCATCGGAATTGGTTTTCGATTGATTTTTCTACAATTCACTTTCAAATCATTAATAAATAAAAAAAAAAAGACCCAGGTGACAAAACGTCCCAATACATTCCCTCTGCCTGAAGGGGACCGTTACTTCTCTTCTCTGCGCTCAAGGCGGGCCTTTTCCTTTGGGTTTGGCAAATAGAATGAAGGCCAGGGGACAAAAAATAAATAAAGAAGTCTTCAGGGGAACTCCGCACGGAGTTGGACGAGGCGCTGGCATCGCCTTTCCGTGTAGCCCCCCCTGAACCCCTCCCTTCCGAGGGCGGGTTGGTCCTTCTGCCCCAATACTGGGAATTACGGTCTCTCGAGTGAGAAAGGGCGGGGGAGGGGAATCCCAGTTAACTGGCCGACCTCCCATCGCCGCCATGGCCACCTCAGGCCCACTGCAAAGGAGTAACGAGCCGAAGGTGTTTTATTCACGTGGACCCCCTTATTTATTTATTAATTTATTATTATTTTTGGAAATAATTACAGCCCGCCCTTTTCAGGCCTCAGCCTCATAAAACGGCGGCCCCCTCACGCTTTATCTCCTTCGACTCACCATGGCGACTCGTTCCGCTCGGCTCAGGCGCGAAGCACAAACTCCCCCACGACGCCTCTTACCACAATGCACCGCGGCTGCCGGATGCAGGGCAACCTTAGTCTTTTCGTGCGTTGGTAACACACGCCCACCCCCTTCCCGCAACCTCGGCTTGAAACCATAGAGACGCCGTTGCTTTCGCTCTCCGGTTTCGGATGCTAGAGAGGCCTCTTATGCTGGTCCCGCGAGATTTCACACACGGACATTTATTTTTTTTAAGGAGGCGGAAGTTCTCATCTGGCGTCCATCTTTGATAAGGGCGTCGCTGCTCCCAGACTTCATAATAGCACGCTGGAGTTATTAAGTCTGCCATCTTACATTGGGCCGGAAGGAAAAGAATAACTAAACCTGGACTTTATAACGTTTCCTTTCAACTGCCAAGTCTCCCGGAAATTGAACAGGGGAGAGGAAGTGGAGGGCCGACTGCCACTTGGCCTTTACGGCGCTAACGGAGGGAGATGAGAGATAATAGCGGGTTAGAGGAGGGAAGGGCAGGCGGGTTTTCTTCCCGCCTTCTGTTTCCATGGGTGCGATTCCTGATTGGCTGAGGAGGAGTTGAGCTTCGGTAATGAGGCCTGGTTCGCCTGCCTGCCTGCCTTCCCTCTGAAGGAAGCGGGGAGCCTCTTGCGTGAGCCGAGCGGGAGCCCAGCTGAGGAGAAGCCGGACTCCGGAGCGGGACTTTGAGAAGCGGCCTCTTCGGGGGTTTCCGTGAGTCTCGGCAACGAAGCAGTTGAGCCGCTTGGCTTCCTCTTTTTTTCTGCACGAAAACGGGGTGCTCGCCCCGCTTGCCTGCCGCTGAGGAGCTCGGCCAAGGTGGTTGGCCGATGTGGCTTTATTCGGAGCCGCGACGGCGAATTCCCCTGCTGAGCCGCTGAGCCTGGAGGAGAAGCCGGCCATGGATGATTTTTTATCCATTAGTTTGCTCTCCCTGGCTATGCTGATCGGCTGCTATGTGGCGGGCATCATCCCTTTGGCCGTCAACTTTTCCGAGGTAAGGAAGGGTCGGTCTGAACACCTGCCGTCCAGGTGTGCGGAAGAATGCAAGAGTTGGTTTTTTTTTTCACCTCTGAATTCACCAATTCTGATATTGAGGTGTGTGTGTGGAGGGGGAGGGGTTTGTAAAGAACAAATAAAACCAGCGCAAGAGGAAACGAAAATCCTCGTTAAATAAACTTTTGGAATAAGCTCCTCCTCATTCAGGTTGCTGCTTTTTAACCTCAATGCTTGTATTGCAGAATTAGGAAGGTAAAATGGCAGAAAGGAATAAAGAAAAAAATCGTGTCAGCTTTGAGATATCTTGACTACAGGTAGTCCTCGCCTTACGACAGTTCGTTTAGTGACCATTCGAAGCTACAACAGTACTGGAAAAAGTGACTTACGGCCATTTTTCACACTTATGACCGTTGCAGCATCCCCCCTGGTCACGTGATTTACATCTGGATGCTTAACAGCTGGTTCACATTTATGATAGTTGCGCAGTCCTGAGGTCCTGTGATCCCCTTTTTGTGACCTGACAAGCAAAGTCAATGGGGGAAGCCAGATTTCACTTAACAACTGTTTTACTAACTTAACAACTTTGGTGATTAACTTAGCAACTGTGACAGGAAAGGTCATAAAATGGAGCAAAACCCACTTAACAAATTTCTCACTTAACTACATACATTTTGGGCTTAATTGTGGTTGTAAATCAAGGATTACCTGTACTCAACTAGAGGATTTTCCTCTCCAGTTCTTTCTGCAAAGCCCAGTTTCCTTTTGTGGTATCAGATATTAATATCTTCAGCAGTTTTAAAGTTTGTCTGAGAGAATCAATCTTTTTGAAATTTGATATAAGAGATCATTTCGCTGTATGCAAAATCTTGATTTTTTTCAGATAATTGCCCTATTCTTTTTTCAGTACTGTTGGCTAAAACTTGAAGAAAGAAACCTTATTTCCCGTAATTGTTTTTCTCAGATCTCTTGCATATGTGCATTTAAAAGTGAGTGTGTAAAAAAAAATACATGCCCACATTGTATATGTATGCAATGTAGTAAAATATTCTACATTTTGGAAGGAATAGTTTCCAGTATATTTTAAAAGAGTCAGCAAGCCAAAGGCAGCTCTGTATATTAATTGTTATTGTATTCAAATTATGCACATTATGCCAAAACATCCTGCCCATGATATAAAAAAATATTCTGATTATACAAAGATGTCTGCAAAAATGCAATTTATTTTAGTAATGGAAGCCAAATGCAATTTCATTTACTGCACAATTCCAAAGTAAACTTCAAATCCAGTGAAGCATATGGAACTGTCACTGAAGTAAGGCTTAATTAATAAACAGCAAGTGCATAGTATGTCTAAAAATAACAAAACAGAATGCCAGGTTAAAATAACTTTAGGAAGAAATTTTAGCTATATTTTTTCCATCCTGTACAAATACTTTGTTCATAGGAAAAAAAACATAAACTTACTTGTGCATGCTTCAAAATTTTGCAAGCTAATTGCCTGATCATTTAACTTATTACCTATACCTAATACTTGTGGATGATCATCAGGCCTGCCTATTTACAGAAAATAGGTTCTTTATTTTCCAAATTATGTGAGAAAATAATTTTCTAAACTGAAATTGCTGTAAGGATTTGAAAATGTGAAAATCTCAGGATGGTTTAAATCAAAGAAACTTTAAAAAGCCAAACAGATCTAAAATAAAATATTAATTTTAAATTAAATGTTTTCTTAAATGCAAATCCCTATTGTTTCACCCTGAGATAGAAAATCTCTGTCTAATACTTTGAGTAGCATTCATGCATGTTCAGAGTTAAATTTCTTCATTAATCTTATTTCTATGCTATCACAATCAAGAGACACTGCATACTGTGAGCAACCTTCAACTTTTGTAAGAGAAGATTAATGTTGGTTTAAATATGTAAATAAAAAGATGTGAATAGTTCACTGTCATAGCAACAAATGCCTGTGTCACATAGATTTGCATTGTCTTATTTCCTTAATAAAATATAATAGCATCAGGTGTTTTGAATAAAGCATTCTAAGACCATTTGTGGATTGTGTATATTATAATTGTCTATTTATTGTAAACCATAAAATCTGGCTTTTGTTACTTTTAATAATATCTGCTTCAACTTTAAAGGCTGTGATTATGTGCTTTCATATGATCAAATATTTTACTTTAGATTATTTTTTAAAAATATGAGACCTCCTGTCTTTTCTGACAGGCAATTGGTGGTTACACTGTATTGGCTAAAATGTGTGTTTTATATACGTGCATTCCAGAAATCTCTTGAGTGATAAATTTCCTCTTTTGAAATGTATCATGTTACTGGAATAAGAATCAAACAGGTTATGTAAATATCAATGTAAAGCAATCCTCAGTTCAGATAATGTACAGTACTTAGAAACTAATACTGTGTATATCTTTTTTATTTGTGTAAGTAGGCATCCACATTTCTATTCTTTGTATTCAGGATGAGGATAATGAAAAAGGCCTATTTGTGTGTGTGTGTGAAAACGAGACAGTGAGCATATGGAACTGTCACTGAAGGCTTAATTAATAAACAGCAAGTGCACAGTATGTCTAAAATACTATGGGAGTATTTTATAGGAAGAACAGTACAGTATGGTTCAAAAGTCTGATAGCAAAGAGGTCCATGACCTTTTCCAGTTCCAAGCTAGAGATGCAAATGGGTTAGCTGGGTTACAGTACCTCAGTTATCCACCATTAAAGTAAGCACTGGAGATGAAGGATATGACTGTTTTCTCCATATATATTACACACACACATATCCACACATACATACAATATTTATCTTCACATTTCCTTTGATTAATTATTTTACCTTTTGTTTTCAGGAAAGATTAAAACTTGTTACAGTTCTTGGTGCCGGGCTCCTTTGTGGAACTGCCTTGGCTGTCATTGTGCCTGAAGGAGTACATGCACTTTATGAAGATCTTTTGGAGGGTAAGAAAATGACTCTTATTCTGGTACAAGGATTTTGGAATAAAGCAGACCTTTTGCTCAGATTATAAACATTGACTACTATGGAAGAGAGATTTGTTTTTCCCTCCTCAAAATTAAATGCAAAATGTAGGAGGACTTTATTTTTTTAAAACAGATTTTATCTCATGGCACTTTAAAATTTAATTGTGATACATTGTGATTCAAAGCTATATATGAAGTTATATAGTTTTTTCTTGGTTAGTTCCTTTCTCCAAGTTTTCTAGTTTCCTGGCTTTTACACTTAATTGCAACTTGTGATTTTAAAGGAATTTGTAAATTGAAATCCTGCAGACTATATGTTCTAGTTCATGCGATCAAATTGAATAATAACAACTTTGTATCAACCACTATTCAGCTTTCTCTTCTTTATGTTTATAAACATTAGATGATGTTTCAAAAACAATGTAGGAGCTTGAAGGTAATAGAGAGGTCAGGGATAGATCTATTTCTTATTTCCTTCACTTGATTTAGCAATTGGAGATGTAATTGTGGAGAATCATTGATTGCAGCAGGCTGAAATCAGATGAATAAATACCATTGGAGAATGTATTTAAAATAAGCAAATTTATGTCAGTTTATATAATCACATACTTTTGATTGTAACACAGGCATTTTTGTAATACAGTCCCGTTTTCTGCAGCATCTCAGTACTTTTTTTTTTAAAAAAAAATACATTTTCCTGCCCACATATCTTAGAGAAGATCAGCATACTGTTACATAATATGACATATGGTTATCCTGCTTGGGCAACTATATATGTTTTATCAGCTTCAATTTCAATATTTTACCAAATGCTTACATTGTCTCAAGTTGTCTAAGTTTGAGTACAGGGTGGTGGCCTACATCAGGGGTTTCCAACCCCTGGTCTGTGGATCGGCACTGGGTTGCAGCATGCCAGAAACCAGGCCATGCAAACAAGTGAGGCCCATCCACAGAACGCAGGCAGCATGCTAAACCATACCTCCTCTGGTTTGTGGAAAAACCTTTCTCCACAGAACCTGGTGCCCAAAAGGTTGGAGGCTGCTGGATTACATGGTTAGGACACTGGGTTGGAGGTTAGCAAACCTGTGGGCTGCTGTGTGGCTGGGTCAGGTCCTGTCATTCGCTCCAGCTCCTTAACAGGATATGACCCCCCCCCTTTTTGCAGGTGTCTCCACCCCCACCCTAATGGTGCTGTTATCAGCTAATTCTTTCAACCCAGAAGCTCTTTATAGGAATACAGCAAATGGCCAGGCCTTATATATATTGAAAGTGAAGCCTTTAATAGTTCATTGCCTCTTTAAAATATTTTTCATGTTAATAAGGGGAGGGACAGAACAGAGTGCTTATAAGTATTAAGAAAGTAAATATAGCTTTGATGGAACTCAGATAAGCAGGGAATAAGAGTTTCTCAGTGGAGGATAGCAGATTATTTTGGCCACAGAAACACTTATCTAGGCTTATTATGATAGTCCCAACTCTCATGGCCTTCTAAAAGCAGACGAAAATCTTGCGTTTCCTAGAGGATTTTGGTGTTTAACTGTATTAGCAATAACATTTCTTTTAATTTTATATTTTAGCTTGTACTTTTTTTTACTGTTTTAGTCACTCGATTTTGTATATTTCTAATAAGCATGTTTTGTAAAACGTCTAGAGTCCATGTAATGTTAGGTGTTAGATAAATTTAATTAAGAAATAAATACTGCTTGGATTTTAAAAAAAAATAAAAAATGTGTAAATCCAGAAATTTTCTGGTGCTTATAATGCTTTCATTTGTAAAATAGTTAAAATGATTTATCAATCCATCCCAAATTATTTTCCTAACTCTCCCCCTGCCCTCCATAAAACTCCAGGGTTACTGGCTTTGTGGGATGGAGGCTGCCTTTGAGTAATTTTTGACTTCTGGAAATTCCCTATTTTCTGAAGTGGTTTCCCATTGCCTGCTTCTTAGGGCTGAGAGAGAGGAACTGCCCAAGGTCACCTAGGTGGCTTTGTTCCTAAGGCAGGACTAAAATTCAACTGGTTTCTAGCCTAGTGCCTTAACTACTCCACCAGACTGACTCTCATTACTGGCTATTATTCCCTTTGAACTTGAGTTCAAAACCTTTGTTCAAACATTACATGACTGTTAAGCAATGTTTACTAATTTGGGGGATTGGGCAAAGGTTATTTCTTTAAATCTACAGTATTACTTGATAGTATGCCTTGAAGCCTTTTTAGCATCTGAACTATATCTTTTCTTCAAATGCTTTTATTAAGGTTTGCAGATTGAAAGGATAAAAAATAATAAAAATTACAACAAATATGAAAAAGAAAACAGGAGTGGGAAAAAAGAAGACTTAACTATACCCTTGTCCATAATAGATGGTTTTAGATATTTGACAATTCAGTGAAGGAAAGGCAGCAGTAGCTGAGAAAGGATAATATTTTGCATTTTAGTTTGCTGATATTTGTCTCTCTCTGCAGCAACTGTAAACCATAAGCATGACTTCGTCTCAAAAATACTATGTAATTGCAAGGGGAGGGATCAGGTCTGCATCCCATTTTAATGGAATGTGGCTAGATAGAATGCATCTCAACACAGTAATTCTAGAGAGACAAGTGTCCAAATAGCAATTAGAGTATTACAGCATGTCAGATGTTAACTCGTTTCCTCTTCTTCATGGTTCTCTCTTATTCTGCTAACCCCTGCATCAGATGGACTGCTGGAAACAGCTGCATTTGTCTGGAGGATAATAATCTGGGGCCATCCAAAGCACCAGATACAGTAGCTCACCTGATGATTACTTATAAAGGGATGAAGAAAAAACAAATACACAATTTAGAGTTTCTTTCCTACCCTTGAAAAGAGTTCAGTGGATTAGTAGGACTAGGTTTCTCAATTCATGGTCCAATCACATGAAAAAAGAAAATATGAGCAAATGCTATGCAGAGATTTACGTGATTTAATAGGCCTGCATATTCCACTGTTTATTTTTTGAACATTTTACTCAGTTTTGAATGATGTTACACTTTTTAATAACATTTTAAATTGGAAGTTTAATAGAAGCATTCTGGTTGGTATATTTGAAGATCGAATATGATTGAGAACAGATTGTCAAGCTCACTGGAGCAGTCATGCAAAATAGCCATGCCTAGTGGCTGATGTATGATGTGATATATCTAAGGATACTGGTCATTTCAAAGTATGTTTCTAGTATTCATCGTTATTGCAAGAAATCCTGTGCTTATCATGTTTCGTATTATTTGGATATCTTTTAAAAGCAAATTCTAATTATTCAGTACCATAATTGTTCAGTTATCCACCCAGGAAATACAGTCACATGAAAAAGGAAGTACACCCCATTGGAATGTTCCACTATTTCAACATATAGATATTTGATCTTCATTTTAACAATATTGATGATATAACAAATATTCACCATTTACATTTTGTAGTCCATTGTGCAATTTAAATAAATATAAATGCAAATTTTGCACCTGGGAAAATACACTGTGAAGTTTTTCTTTCTTTTTTTTATCATACATGGACATACCGATATTTTGTTTTCATTCAAACAGTGTATTTTATTTATTTATTTGTCAAGTTTTGAGATCTCCCTCGCAGAGGAACTCCAGGCAGCATGCAAATAAAATATTAAAACATAAAAACAATATATAAGATTTAAAACGAGGCAAAGATTATTAAAAATCATTAAAAGGAGGGAGGAGAACTTTCAGGGCACTAACCAGCCTCATGGCTGTGTGCTCTTCTGTGAGCCCAAAGCAAGCCATGTTTTCATACATTTCCGAAAGGCCAAGGGAGTGGGGGCATGCCTCATCTCTGGGGGCATAAAGTGAGATGATCTAATTGAACAAAAAGCTATAAAAATTGACTTCGGATCATTTATTTAACAAAAAATTAACAGATATGCCATTTCATTCTGTAGAAAAAGTAAGCACACCCTTGACTCAAATACAGTGACTACTTTTTTCCCAATGTGTATGTATGTTATACCATAGGATATGGCTGCAGTATTATTATTAAACCCCTTTATTATTTTTTACTTCCCTTTTTTATTATCTGTAAACTTTAGTGTTATTATTGTATTATTGTTTTGCAAGTACACTGAGTGCTTCTGTATTGCAGACAAAGTCCTTGAGCATCTAACCACACTTGGCCAAATAAATAAAGTATACAGTAAGTATACTCTAATCCTCTGTTATTGCTCCCTTTGGCAGAAACAATCTCAAATACACATTTCTTATAACTGTATATAACATTCCTATAACTCTCCGAGATCGACTGGGAGGAATTTTCCCTCACTCTTCCATGCAACTTTATTTCAACTGTGCAATATCTGAAGAGGTTTTTTGCATGCGCAGCTCTTTTCACCCCACAACATGGTGGGTTTTCTGGAATGTTTAGAGTTATGTTGCAAGGTTCACTTTCGGTGGAGCATCAATCTTCTAACAAATGGTCTCACATTATCTAAGCACCGTCTGGAACGATGAAGAATTCATGGTGGATTCTGTGATGGTGATCTCCCCAGGCCTTGAAACAGACCCAAACTGTAATATTTTCACCACCATTCTTTACAGTTGTTATAATGTTCATCTGGTGAAATGTGGCCAAATAATTTGATTATTTTTTTTTGCCTTGGGTGTTGAGAGCACATTGTTCTAGAAATCCTGGTGTTTGTCTAGGCATTCATGAGCAAACATGCTCTGATGTGTTTTTTGGGCAGCAAAGATTTCCTTCTTGCATACTTCCAATGTACATCTGTGCAGCTTTGTAGTTGTAGACTCATGCCCTTTAACATTAGTAGTGGTGACACAGATTTGTGGGTCACATAGGGTTCTTTTTTCAGCAAAGTGGTTCGCCCGGGTTAAAGTTGCTGAGATGGCCTGGCCTGGGCAAGTTAACAGTTGTTTGAGATCTCCACTTACAGATTATTTTCTGGACAATGGAATGATTGATGTCGAGTATTTGGAAATTTTTTAAAATCACTTTCTATCACTCATTCATATCTATAACCTTCTTTCTGATGAGAGATCTCTTCTGATCAGACAGCTCTTTTGATCTAGGGAAGGTGATACCATTCACTTCAGCAATAAAGAGCAAATCAAACTAAACGTTTAAGATTCCAGTATGACAGGTTCCTCTCAGATCCTCTGTAATAATGTTCTACCGTATTTTCCGGCATATAAGACGACTGGGCGTATAAGATGACCCCTGACTTTTCCTGTTAAAATATAGGGTTTGGGCTATACTCGCCGTATAAGACTACCCCTCTTCCAATGCACACCAAATAAAAATTAAAAAACATCAACTGGCTCACCCACAATGTAAAAGCAGCTGTGCTAGTCCCAAAATGGCCCCTGCAACAAGCAGGAACCTCACACAGCCACAAAAAGCCCAAAACAACAACTTTCACACTTTACACACACAACACAACACAACACAACTGGCTCACCCACAATGTAAAAGCAGCTGTGCTAGACCCAAAATGGTCCCTGCAACAAGCAGGAACCTCACACAGCCACAAAAAGCCCAAAAAAACAACTTTCACACTTTACACACACAAAATTCCACATACAGCTTTGTGAGATTTTGTGTGTTTGTGTAGTTGGAGTGAAACACTACAAAAACACACAATCTCAGAAAGCTGCACAAATATTATTTTAATTTATTTTATTTTATTTTTATTTTTATATGAAAACTAAATTTAAAACTTCCTAAACTTTAAATGGCTAGGTCTAAAAAAGAACAACTAAAAAAAAACCTAACTAACTATTTTTTTTAAAGCTCCCAAAGGGGAAAAAAACTTACCCAATAGAACAGGGGTCTCCAACCTTGGCAACTTTAAGACTTGTAGATTTCAACTCCCAGAATTCCTCAGCCAGCTTTGTTTTGCTGGCTGAGGAATTTTGGGAGTTGAAGTCCACAACTCCCTGCCTGCTTGATTGCAGGCAGGGAGTGGCTTGCTGATGGAATGGATTCAGGCAAGCGAAGCAAGGAAACGTTGCGACTAGCAGCTAAGGTAAGCAAGCTGGAGGGGGAAAACTTTTTTCCTTTTACATGGCTCTGGCGATCCCAGCTGCATTGCCTGATTAGCAGGCAACTCAGCTGGGATCATCAGAGCTTGGATCGCCAGAGCCATTTAAGGCTCATCAGAGCCTTTTGGGCTGGTCTGCCTGGTTACAGGAGAACGACACCCAGCGTATAAGACGACCCCCGACTTTTGAAAAGATTTTCATGTGTTAAAAAGTCGTCTTATACGCCGGAAAATACGGTAACTATTTGAACCTGATCTTGTGCACTTAGTCCTTATTTTAGATAACTGAGGTAGTAATAAATATAGGGATGTTTTTATATTTTTCACAGGCATTTGTTTATTTAAATTACAAAATGGACTACAAAATATACATGTTCATGATATGTGTTATATCCTATTTATCAATATTATTGAAATGAAGATCAAATATCTCTGTTAGAAAAGGAAAAAAAAAATAATGGGATGTACTTTTTCACATGATAGTGGATTGATTTGAACCATAAAAGTATTCTGCCAAAACAGAAAGTCAATACAATAAAAAGAAGGCTTCCATTAGACATTGAAGATATTTTGCCCAAAATTCTTATTACTAGCCTTTTGGAATTCAGATCCCTGTCTGCTTGCTTATGCCTGCAGATATACACTTTTGCTTTCATTCAGTTATTTGATGAAACAGTTATTTGATGTTACATACAGATGTAGAGTTATATTACATTGAAGTCATGTTAATTAAACTATTGTTTCTGATCAATTTTAAATTTTATTTTTAAAAGAATTAACAAGATTTGAAAACTAATTAGTCACTTTTAAAATAAAAAATGCCCCGAAGCATGTTTTGATTTGACTTTTAACATATTAGGAATTGAGCCTTCTGCAATTCTAATTTCATCTGTTCTTTTTGGTTTCCTTTAGCAAAGCACAACCCAGTCAGTGAGAGTCAAAAGGTCATTGAATCCGAGAAAGCAGATGTTCCAGATGTGCATGATCATAACCACAACCATGACCATTCAAGATTACATGCTTACATTGGTGTTTCTCTTGTTCTTGGCTTTGTCTTTATGCTGCTGGTAGATCAAATTGGCAGTTCTCACGTCCACACTGCAGATGGTAAGCCAACCTTTTCCTAATAGGCAATCAAAGTGTGAACAATTATTCAGAAATATTCAAATAACTAAGTATTTGTTGTTCATGATACTGTGGATATGAAAAAATATGGGGGTGAATTTTGGAGCAAAATAACATTGTTTTCACCCTTATGATTTTGTGACCCAACGTTTGCTCAAAAGTTTACACTCTTAATGGTGAATGAGTCCTCACTTAACGACTCATTGAAATGGGAATTTCCATCGCTAAGTGATACAGTTAGGTGAAATATCAAATGATTGCACCACTAAGCAGTGACAAAATTAGTAGTTCTGGTTGTGGCTAGGAACTTCACACTGTGCTATCATTAGGCAAGAACTTCATCCTCGTCTTGTTCTGCTACTCTTGCCTCCACTTCAACTGCCCTTATTTGCCTATTTATCTCTTCCTCCCCCCCCCCCATCCATATCTCTGCCCTTTTGGCCATCCTCCACTGCTGGGCTTGTCCTAGTATTACAAGGCCTCATGTGGCCAGAAGCTGCTTTGTAAAGGGCCTTGTAAGCAGCAGGAGGAAGAAGATGGCAAAAGTTGACAGCAGGAGCAGTGGATTGCAGGATGGCAGAGGGTAGGCGCAGGGGCAGTGGAGTAAAGGGTTTCCAAAAGGGCAGTAATGGGGGGAGAGATAGATGGGTGGGGGGAATTGAAGCATACAGTTGTATGGTTGTAAATGCAGGTGTGATTCCAAATTTTAATTGTGACCACGGAGGTGATGTCAGAGCTGTAACTTCATGGACCAACCATAACTAACATTGTTCAACACTATCATAACTTCAAATTGTCACTGAATGGCCATTAAGTGAGGACTACCTGCACAGGAAGGACTTTAAATGGAGACTCTCAATTTAGAAATTGTAGAGATTGGAATTTGTAGAGATTTTTTGGAAAATGAACAAGTGAGCTTCTAACTTTAAATGGAATTTACTAAACCCATGAGTAACTATTATTTTATTGTGTAAATAAACCTCCTAACTGGTTACACAAAGAACTATTGTGATAGCTCAATTCAGTATAGTAGTATTGCCTGAGATATCTGCTACAAAACAAAGTATGTGGAAGAAAGTGTTTATTTTAACCAGAAATACTTGAGCATTGAATATTGAGCACTGAAACACTGTGCTTGGTTCTATGCAGGTACCTGTGGAGGCATGTCTTTCATGCCAAGCCTCTGTGTTTTGATATAATATGCATGTCACAGAGAACATAATCCCATCTTCATTAAATTTCTTTAACCCATAACTAACCTACTGCAAATCATAATTACATTCTACTTGACAAAAGCTAGACTTAATCATTGTTAAACCATATAAAAGTGTTTTGGAGCCCATGCTTTTCTGATTGCGCCATCTAACAGCTGCCTTTCCAAGCTCCTGTCTGATATTTTCACGGCTTAACAATGGTTACCTGTCAATGTTATTTCGCCTCCGCCCTCTTGGCTTTCCAGATGGGACTTAAAATCTGGGTCTGCTGATTGGCCTGGGGTCCTAATGCGTTAGTGTATTAAGAGAAGAAAAGAGAAGACCCCATTGCATATTGCCTACTTCTTTAACTATCTGTGAATTTTAATATTATAATTTTAATATTGTAATGTTTTATATTGTCATTTTTATCTTGTTGAAAGCCACCTAGGTCACTTGATGGCAAGGTGGGCATCATATAAATCTAATAAATAAATACATAAATAAATATTAAACAGTATCTTTTGAAAGGATTCAATTTCATGGAATAGTCCAATCCTTTTAATTGGGAAGAAGGGAAAGAAGGAAGGAAAGATTTAAAGACACTGAGAAAGAATGTAATAGAAATAATTTAGTTTGATGAAAAATCATTATTATAATCTGTTCACAATAATGAAAAATCATAGCTGCCAGTTCTTCAGCTGGTGTTGGCCTTCTTATGCATCAAGTTCCTCCCAAGAACCTGGAATGTTGTCATGTATCAGCGTAGTGTATGTGCAGATCCAAACAATGTAGCATTTAGCAATGTCAATGGGAAGTGCTGTCCAAATTTTTGGGTATGCACTATAATATTATAATTATTATATTTTTATCCTATATAAAATGCCTAGAACTCAGTCTTTTAGTTTAAGTCTAAGGCCATCACCTTAACCACTGTACTGAAGTGGCTCTTTAACTTCTGTTTTAATATTAACTTTTCTAATATTTCTTCATTTCAGTTTCTGCTCCTGCTCCTCTCTTATTTATATCTTTTTAACTAAGATTTCTTTATTATTTCAGACCCAGAAGCAGCAAGGTCGGGCAATTCCAAAATTACTACTACACTAGGACTAGTGGTCCATGCAGCAGGTAGGTTAATTTTGTTGGTTGGTTATGTTTTTCTTTAAAAAATGAGGCAGATATTGTCAAGTTATGTGAGTTAGTGTTAAGCTATAATTGCATGGCATGATGCCAGTAGTTACTGCTACTAATAATGAAAGAATGCTGTGGACCTTCTTTTTATTCTTCTCCTGAAGTTTAGTCCACTTTGAGATAAGAGAGGAGAGAAGAGGCTAAACTAAACTGCAGAAATATTTGCCTGACGATTCTCTGCAACTCAGGGCTATAGTGATTTTTTAATAGGAAAATACATTAAAAATGTTAGTCCTCTAGAATTATGTTTGGAGACAAATCTTTTAAAGTTTTAAAAAAGATCTAAACAAATATTTTTACTTTGTTTCTGCAAAACCATTACAATGTAAAGTTAAAAAATATTGTGGTTTTACATTTTTTGTATATTATAATATGAATTACTGCTTCTCTTTTGCTACTGTATTGTACTTAATTAAAAGGGCATGGTAAATAAATTTACTGCTGTTACTTTATACATTTGTTTTAAACACTGTAGCAATATATCTGAATTTTTAGACCCTAATCTTTTTAGACTCTGCCCTCAAACATACATTCCCTTTTCAACTTTTAGAATGAGTCTTAGAACTTTAAATCCCCAATTAGTTATGTAATGCAAAATTGACATTTAATATACCTAGGTTTCACAATGAATCTACCCATAATTTAAGGAGCAAAGTTATTAGTTGTAAATTTATTTGTTCATAATGTTGATTTAAAAGGCCAGCCTAGTTCAAAACTGACTCAAACAATTTGCTTAGGCATGAAGGATTGTGATAAAGGATTCCCAGTTCAGGAAAGGGCATAGTTGGTGCACCACATGAATATATGGTTCCTGCTCAGAGAATAGAAACTGTGAATCCAGAAGGACCTCCTAATTATGCACCACCCCTGAATGGGGAAATACAAGTGGATTAGATCACTGGGACCAGAAGAACCAAAAATATAGCAACAAAGCATATGTTTTAACACCATGTTGCAAAGAACTAAACAAAACTGTTGGGTATGTGACCATTCCTGATTCAAAACTGTTGCCATGGATCTACTCCGAAACTTAAATATTAAAATCATAATCAGGAATGGGAGAGCAGGTTAAGATAAGAGACTCAGGTGACAGACTTACTCTTGTATAATTTAGCTCCAGTAACTCTTTGATCAGTGGATGGATTCACTGTTGTGTGCCTTGTTTTTCCTTCCTCCCACATTAAGCTGATGGTGTTGCCTTGGGTGCAGCTGCTTCTACATCTCAGACTAGTGTCCAGCTAATAGTATTTGTTGCAATTATGCTGCATAAGGTAAGCTTTGAGTATGAAACTTTTCCATGCTTCTTTCATCAGTGAATGATATTCGTTATTAGGCGTCATAGACTTCAGTGAAGTACAACAACTTTTTAAAAAAATCCATGCACTTTTTAAAGCATTTCTGTTTGCTTTTGTATTTAGGATTGCATCTAGGAGTAGAAGTAGGCAGTTAAGTACTATGTAGGTAGGAGTTTTGTGTTAGCCCAGTAATGACATGTAATAAGTAGCAGTGCTTCTTACTGCTGAATTTAATGTACTTAGAAGATACTTTACATATAGCTAATTTTCATTAGACTCACATAGATCTTGTATAAGAGAGTGGCTAATTCTGAACAATTATTGGGCCTGAAACTATACTAACTTTATATTTTGGACTTCTTCTTTTTTTTTTTAATTTGATTTATATGCCGCCCTTCTCCGAAGACTCAGGGCGGCTTACAATGCGTTAAGCAATAGCCTTCATACTTTTGTATATTTTATACAAAGTCAGCTTATTGCCCCCACAATCTGGGTCTCATTTTACCTACCTTAGAAAGGATGGAAGGCTGAGTCAACCTTGAGCCTGGTAAGATTCGAACCTGCAGAAATTGCAGACAGCTGATGTTAATAACAGTGCTTTAGTCTGCTGCGCTACCAGAGCTCTTTTATAGTAACAGGACCAAGCAATCTCTTTGATTTTCCAGAATTACATTCTAATTTGACTAAATGGTTACCATAGAAATTGTATTTTCACAATATGCCATGGTGCATATTTGGAATCACAAAATTTACCTGAAGGCAAACTGCTACTCACCAGCCTCTTTAGCTCTCCAGAATGCTTTTATCATAACAATCTGTATGAGTATAATTTTTAATACTAATACTAATTTTTTAATACTAATATTAAAATAAGCATTTTAGTATTGGTTCTTTACTAAAAAGTATTTGTTAATAAGTATTAACTTTTTTCAATTGTACGGCGTATAGTGTTACAAAGAAAAGGAAAACAAGTATTTTATTATATGCGAAGTGTGCTATCCTCCCCATTAGATACAGTGTTGTAGTAGCAACTCTACTATCTCACATTAAGGAAGTGCTATACTAATGATACATTATACTCCACCAATAGAAAAACTTAAGGAAGGGCTTAGTAATGTGCTATTGGCATTTGGTCATACTAAACGTTCTATTTTGCAAAGGTAGTACAACTTGTTTTATACTTGAGCATTAAATATTTTATTACTTTTATGTTGTAGGCACCTGCTGCTTTTGGGCTTGTCTCCTTTCTTATGCATGCTGGCCTTGAACGGAATCGAATCAGGAAGCACTTGCTGGTTTTTGCACTAGCAGCACCTGTTTTGTCAATGGTGACTTATTTGGGATTAAGCAAGGTAAAACAGCTGGGGAACATGAACAGTTTTAAATAATCAGGTTAATCATATTTACCTGCCAGTTTTGCATCACTATATTTGTCAGGGAAGCAGTATTGCAGATGCTTAAATATTTGGTATTTTGTTTAATAGAGCATTTTTGCTGGATTATGAATTGTTCTTTGAGTAAAAATAGTGCATACAAAATGCAATTAATTGGTCTTGTGTTGACCATTTTTTTAACTAACACCAAATTATGGATTTTATGTAAGTCATCTGTCAGCATTTAGATTTTTTACACTGACAAAAATTTGCAGGATAAATTTTTCATTGGTAGTAGAGGATTTTAGGTCTCCAGAACATTAGTTTGTCTTTGAGGTAAGGTATAATGCTTTCTAAAGATGTTTTTGAAATTTCAGTAGAGTAGCCATTGAAGTACAATTTAAAGGAGGATGAGCTTTGTATTTTATCAGCATTTTGTCTTTTTTTTTTATTTTACAGAGCAGTAAACAGGCACTTTCAGAAGTCAATGCCACTGGAGTTGCCATGTTGTTCTCTGCTGGGACTTTCCTGTACGTTGCCACAGTTCATGTTCTTCCCGAAGTGGGTGGAATGGGACATAGCCATAAACCTGAATCTGCTGGAGGCAAGGGACTCAGTCGCCTGGAGGTGGCTGCATTGGTTTTGGGTTGTTTGATTCCTCTGATTTTATCTATTGGACACCAACATTAAAACTTGGAAGACCAGCATTTTCCCCCTGAATCTGATATAAGCAGCAGTCAGTTGCTTTTTTTATTGCTGTCTCTCTTACCCTGTTAACTACCCCATGTATGTTAAGAAGTTGGAGAGGATCATCATTTCAACAAGAAAACTGAGAAAACTCAATATAAGAGAGAGAGAGAGTACTCTTTGACAGCTAGTTATAAATCCTGCATAATTTCTCTTTTCTAAAGATATTTTAATTATGACTTCCTACCTATTCTCAGGGAAGCTGGAACTTGGATATTATCTGGGAAGATCCTTGCAATTCATCATGAAATCATAATCCCAAGTATTCTGTATGTCAGCATTCAGAGCTGATGTCTTGACATTATGATGCTACCTTCTAATATGAGAAGATTGTTCACATCTTCCAAATGTTCATGTATTAATAATGGCATGGGCTGACTTAGAAGGAGGCATCTGGTGAAGAAATATTTGTGAGGATGAAGTTGTAGGCAAAATTTGTATTAGATAAAGAAGTTCAATAGGATTCTTGCATTGAATTATTATGAAAGCACATTTGTTCCTTGATTTTAGCAGGCTAGACAGTATGGAAGAGAGCCACATTCAGCAGAAAGATTGTCCTCATCTCTAAAGAATATTATTGTTTTTTCAAATGAATGCTAGTTTATTTACAAAATGTTGCTTTTCAAGTAGAATAAGATAAGCCCTATTCATCAGACATCAACCTCAAAAGCTAAAACTGTAATACTTTCTGATATTACTATCAAAAATCATTCCAGGTTGTGAGCTTGTATTGAATTAAATGTCTGAAGTCTGTTAAAACTGAGTATCGATACACCTCTGGAACACAATTCTACACATCGTAGTGGTTCAAAAAGGTAACTGTAATAATAAAAAAAAAAACCTGTCAAAGCCATTGACTTAAAAAAAAATTAAATGGTTAAAATATATGTTGGTTACTGGTGCACAGTTTTATATATGCTTTAAATTTTCAATCACATTGTCAAAAGTCATTAATAGTTAAAATTTTATTTTTAAACAAGATGAAATGGTGTTTGAGTGAAATGGTTTTTACTGGACTGGTTATCCATTAGATAAATCTATTCCTATTTTCAGTAACTTTTTACAGTCCAGTAATTAATGAAACTTATTTTCCATGCCTGCCTTGCTCACATCTTATGTTTCCTTGACAGTGGATATTAAGGTTGTTCAGAATGGTTATGCTTTAACTGGCAGTTCCTACTTATAGAGTGAGTCATTGGTTGTGCATCAATAGGCGATATCAGTTTTTCATGACTGATTCTAAAGTTTTTTTTTAAGCTAATACTCAACAGACCTATTGACTGCTATTCTTTCCAATACGTGTTTATCAGCTACATACATTTATATCATCAAGAACTGGGATAAATCATCTGTATGAGTGTGGATCATAAAATGGTGCTATCAATTGCCTAGTACATCTCAAATGGATCTGCCAGTTGTGCTTGATCTGTAAGAAAGCATTTCAAAGATTACAGTTTTAGAATTTTTATTCTCTTCTGTGCTAGAAGAGAAAATAGAAACACATTTGTCAAAACATGGGGCAAAAAAACCCAGATGTACTATTTGATATATGAATTGTGGTTAATGTGCCTGTCACATTTGCACACTTAATGATTGAAAATAAAAGTCACAAAATGCCAAATTACCATTGCTGCGGAAAATGACAATGTCAATTCTTCCAACTAGCAAGTTGGGAAATAATGGCAAAATGACAAGTCACCAAAGTTGATTGAAATGTCATTAATATAGAAATATTTGGAAAAAGAATAGGGATTCTGGGATATAATTTTGAATTGAAATCATACATTTTTTAAAAAACCATTTGATCATTGTATGTTACAGAGAGAACTTGAGGAATTCTGTTTTAAACCAGACTCAGCTTTAAGTGCTTACTGTTACTTGCAAAATTTAATTGGAAGCTACCTAAACTAATCAAATTTGTGAAAGCAAGTCTGTTAATTCTATCTTTCCTATTTCACTACCCTGGGCTCAGTATCTAGCACTAAATTATTATTTGTAAGGCAATGAATATGCTTAATGTGTGATGTTTATTGCACAATAAACATAGGGCAGTACAGGGAATGCTTGTGGGGCTGATTTGCTCCTGTGTGGGAGCAAAGGTGCCTTGAATACTTTGCCAGTATTTAATTGCTAACTACTATTGTAGCAGTGGTGAGCTTTGAGAAGGGAATTTCTAAATAATAAAACAAATTCTGTAGCACAATTCCAGAAATTTGATCTCTTGTAATACTGAGAAGCTCCGTTTTGAGAAATCATATGGATTTGAGCATATGGATTTTAACTTTGCCCAGATTTTAAAAATCAATGCAAAATCATTGCTTTTTGTAGTCTAATTGTACTCTTCTTGACTCTTATTACTAGTCATATCCAAATTGTATTCTGAACTTCCCAGTAAACCTGAAAGCCATGGATTGCTAAAATAGAGATGCATAATTAATAGATTCTTACAAATTCCAACACTTCCAAAAGTCACATCAGTTGTAGACTGAGTTGAAAGTGGAAATGTTTACTATGAATTGTGTCTGTATGCAACATTACATTCAGTCACCTAATTGCCATTATTCATAAAACAATCTTTTGCCTATGCTGGAGAAACTTAAGTTTGCAATATTTGACAGATATAGCAAGGAAATGCAGTATCTTCAATTGAAAGGAAATGTCTTGGAATTTCTGAAACAGTGGAAAAGAGAAGCTCAAAAGTGATTTTCCAGTATCCTAAGTGAAAATAATTTTTAATATCCAGCTGTACCGGAATGGGAAAACTTGAACAATAAATTGTGCTGCAGTGCTGTTTTATGATGAATCATAGGTAACTTGGAATATGGGAAGCCCTTGCAGCAGCATTTGAAGGAGATTATCCATTTCAAAAAAATACGAACTTTTACATGTTTCTGTTATGTCCCTAACCAGCTATGATTTTATGGGCAGTGTTCCCTGGTCATAGCCTGATTCCATGTACTAAAGTGTAATTTTAATGTCTTTTCTAAATCATTTGTACACATGAGATCATTCCATGGATGGCTGCCTTATTTTTAATTTTTTCACTTTAATTGTGAACTGTTTAAATATGTTTTTATTATATTAAAAATTATTTGCTGCATTGTTGAAATAAGTTGTCTCATTTTTAATGGTGACAAAAAAGCAATATGTAGATTTTTCAAGGGGAAATGGTTTATAGTTTGCTTTATCTCATTTTTATCTCCCTTATTCACTTCTAGAAACAGATTAGAATTAGATAAAGCAATTTATCCCAGTAAACCCAGTAAAAAGCATAATAAATCAGCATACTTTGTCATCCCTTCCCCAATGCATCCAAATGTAACATGCCAAAGTATTAAATGTACTTCCTAAATAATTTTTTTCTTATTTTCAAAACTTGGTGATTTACCTATCCATTGGAAACTTCAACTGGACCATAATGCACCAGCCAAACTAATTATGGGTATTTATTATGCTGGCATGATAACTCCCTTCTGTAAGCTACAGGCTAGGTGCAATTAAAAGTGCTGATAATATCCTACCTGACATAGGACTGTGTTGCCTGTCGGACCAACTGCTCCTGTGGGTATATTTGCCCATCCCCATACATTCCCAAGGAGAAAGCAAACTCTTGGTTCTTTCATTGAAATTGTCATGTTATGAGGCCCAGGAGGTGTGCCTTCTCTGTGATGTACCCTGCCATTTGGAATTATCTTTTCTTAAGTTTGTTTAAATGGAGCCGGAACATATTGGAAACTTACTCAGGTACCTATCCAGATGGATAGAAAAAGGCTAATCACAAATTATTTTTAATGTATTTTCTTTAACATAAGCCATTTGTGCTTCTCAAACTTTCAACAGATAGAATCCTGTGTATAGAATTTGCTATCCAGTCCTTTATATGAAAATGCTATTTTACTTCCAGGTTTTGGGTATCTCTGTAAAAAAAAAAAAAAATGTGGGTAGGTATAGAGGTTGGAGAGATAGGCTTTGTAAATAAATATGTGCAAAAGTGACCAGGTAGTTTTGTCAATCTCTAGTTGGTCTTCCCAAGTATAGACCACTATTTTAACAAAACAATTGGGTACAGCACTTTCGCCCCATCTGTGCCCTACAGTAGTATGCTCCCATGATTTTGGTGATAGACTATTCTGGGAGTTGGAGAGGAAGATAACAGGAAATTACACAACTGAATCAGGTGTAGATAGAAGACAAGATTTCTTCTAGTAACTGATCCAGTCTATTTGGCGCTATTAAGAGAATTTAGCAGGAATAGTCTGACAATATAGTTACTACCTATAACTATCAGACCAATACTGGAAAGAAATGCATTCATTGATAACAAAAATGACTAGAATTGCATACTTTTGGGGGCATTTGGGATCTAATTGCCCATCTGCTTTTGGGTTGTTTTTTTATGTTAAATAGGTTAGTCTAGTAATGATAATGAAGAGATTCATACTATAATGAATTTTGGAGAAATTTTGGTTGCTATTTTATAACACTACAGTTTTAAAATGTTATTGGGAGCAGGTAACAAAGTTTCCTATTGGTGAGAAAAAATTTTCAAGGGGAATTTGAGGACATCTTATTTCTTCTATATGTTATATATTAATTTTCAAAATTTGTCATGGCAGATTATCAAAACAAGATTATCAATTTGACTTGGAATGAATGAGTTGAAGTTCATTTTCTATAAGTTGATATCAAAGGATGCAGCAGTTGATTGAGTCAAAATTGGACTCATTTGCAGTGATTGCAAATTGTGTATTAGAATTTTGACATTTCCATTGAATAACTGATACACTGTCTGTTTTCGTTTTATTTCTGGAAATATCTTAAGAAGCCCTTTGTTTTTCTTTACTAAAAATCTATTAATTCTGAGTTTAATTCTCCTGATAGCTCTTTATAGTTCTGAACTACCTATATCTCTTCTTTGATAACCTGAGTTTTCCATATTCTATTCTACAGGTTTGATTTTTGTTTTTGTTTTCTGATCTCCAGTAAACTTTGAATAACATAAGTTAGCCATAGAGCTTCAGTTTTAAAAAATGTGAAATCTGGAGGGCAAATTAATGTTCATATCTAACCCATATGTTTTAAAGAAACCTTTTTAGAAACTTTTTAAAAAATATATATAAAATGGTAATCCTATCTGAAATTTTAGACAAGTAAGGGTTAACCATTCCATAAACCACATCTCCCACACTGCAATGCTCAAAAACAAGTGTGGCTTCCAACATCATCTACAGCCATCAGTATCCAAGAAGCCTGCCAGGATCTTTTGTTGAGATGTAATCAGGCAGAAGCACCTCTAAATACCTCCATGACCACAACCCATAATGTATAGGACAGTTCCCAGTATTCCACACAGGTTGAAAAGGAATGCATGGAAGGGAAGAAAGCCTGATTTTTAACTGTCCTGTTGCTATTGCTGCACTGCTAAATATGTCACACACCTGCTAGAATTTGTTTAAGCAGTTTGTTTTGAGACAAAAAGGACAAATGGTTTCGCATTGTAAGTAGGTTTCACATACTGTGGTTTGAGGTTAAACTATTGCATATAATACATATTTCTATTTTTATCATGGGATATTATTATATACATTGTTTGCACAAACAATTCCATGTCAATCAGCCATTGTAACTGCCCAGAAAAACTGATAATTGGTTTAGTAAGAGTTTACTTTTTAAACAGTTTCTGAACATGCTATTGTTAAGTTTTAATAAAACATTTTTGCTGCATTTTCTTTCCTTATCTTCTCCATTTCTGTTTTTAAAAAGTGTAGGTGTGTTTTTCTTTTTTAAAAAAAATAATAATAATGGAGCTCTCTGACTGAAATTTCACAAAGTTAATGTGTTCCGAAAGCTTGACTGTTTCCCATTCTGCCAAAGAATGCCTTCCATGATACGGCAGCTTCTCATCAAATCATCTTTTCAAACCATCTCTCAGTGGTTTAAGCTGAATCTTGTTTTCAAATCTTGAATGTGAATGAATGTTGAGATGTATCGTTCTGAGCTCTTATCATAGATTCTTCTTGTTGTTTTTTTACTTCAGAAAAAATTAAAAATATTTTTTAAAATATCTTGATCCACAAATTAGAATCAAGTCTCTACAACCTTAAATCTCACATCTGAATGGAAACTTAGCTAGTGGGATTCATGTTCAAACATATGTGAATGCTCAACGTTCGAACAGAAATGCAATTTTCATTGAGCTCAGAGGTGGTTAGCCCCATCCAGTTTATTCATTAAAGGAATCCTGGCAACTTGAAAGCTTTGCAAGACAAATCCTTTATTTCATAACTATCCCATATTTTTTTTCAAGGTCCCTTCTTGGATCCTCCTCCCATTTTATCTTTACAACAACCTGACAAGGTAAATTGGGCTGATTACTGCCTCTCAGCACGAGAATTACCCAGTGAATGGATTGAGGATTTGAACCCAGCTCTTCATGTTCTTAGCCCTAAACCTTAACCATCATACTAAACTGACTAGGAAAAAAATATATGAGTGCCATTTCATTCTATCTGCAACTATACTTTGTGAATGCTCCATTGTCACACAAACTATGCCTTGTTACATTGAGGTCTCCATCTACTTCATGAAAATGGTTTTTTCCCCCCTGCTTGTCTGGAATGTTCCCTCACTGTTCAGGGCATCAGGAAGTGAAATGAAACGAGGAAGCTCACATCATCTCTGCATCAGGGAGACAAATATCGAGCACTGGCAGCTCGGTTATTGATTCAGAGCTAAGCCTCACTCACTCCCGCTCTCTCCCCGAGTAAGCAGTTACGCCTTTCTGGTTCGTTGCATTTAATCGGATTCCTACAGCTGCAGAGCAGAGGCAGAGAATTAGATTTTTTTAAAAAAAGTCTTAATCATGTTTACTTCAAAATCCAACTCGGTCTCTCCTTCCCCCTCCATGGATCCGACAGATCTGGATGCCTTGGATATCCGCACCAAAGTGCAGCTGTATGGAGTGCTCTGGAAGAGACCGTTCGGGAGACCGTCAGCCAAATGGTCCAGAAGGTAAGGCAGAAAGTGTCTGGGTAGAGCTGCAGAGGCAAAAAGGGAGGGCAGAAGAGAAGAGAAGGTGATTATGGAGTTCATAATGGGAAGGAAAATCCAGAAAATCTGGGACAGCAATCAGGCTGGGGTTCTGAAATGTCCAGGCAGGATCTTAAAATGTCCAGACAGATGAGTTCCAGAATTGGAGACTACAGCCCAGGAATGGGGCTTGTATTAATGTGTAGGATCCAAATCATCATCATCACCATCATCATCATTGTGCAACTTTATGGAATCTATTAATTAACAATCTGGGCAAATACAATTTCTGTGTTGTGGTCCATTTTGTAGGTTGGCAAAGAGATTCTGCTTGCAATTCTCTGTGCTCTTCGAAGAAGGGGCATAGGTGACCTGGTGTTAGGCCAACTGTATATAAGAGACAGAGAAAACTTATGTAGCATTTCCATTTGGACTCCATGCTTTTTGTTTACGGAAGATAGGCTAAATTGAGATCACTCGCGTCTAGGGAAAGTTTAGCCAAGCAGTGAAGGCATTCTTTTCTCGCTTGCTTGCTGCTTGTTGTGTGAACTTAATTCCAAAGTGGTTTTTTTTTTTTGAGAATGCTGGCTGCCTGATCTGAAGACATGACACAGTGCCAACACAACAGGGAGGAGCGAAAATGTTCATGATATTACATGCTGTCACTATCTAATCCTACGCACATATTTATCTTGTGCTCGTTGTCAGAATTGCTGCACAATTCTATTTCTCAATCACAAAATATTACAGGTTAAGAGAAGAAAATGCCATCCCTATAATAAATATCCCATTCCTAAGTATAATTTTGGATTAGCAACTATATATGTAATCAGGAGTAACTTATTCTATTGCCAGATTTTAGAAACATTTAGAACGTAAGGTTTCTTTTTAATCTTCCTGCTACCAGTCCTTCCAGAAAAATCTGTCTCTCTGCACTTTAAATTCCATGTGCATTTATACTTGCAGTTAATATATAGCCAACTCAACATGAAAGCACAGTGGATAAATATAAAGAGAAACTTGGATCAAGGGTTCCTATGAAAGAAATTCTGCTTGCAGAGTTCAAGATGG